CCATATTAATCTGGACCAGGAGAGAAAGTAGGGGAGAGAAAGAGATAAAAAAGAATCAACTTCCACAGCTGGACGAGGCTGGACTCGAAGGCTCTACTGTTAAGTGGAGAAAACAGAAAACTCCTGAAGACTGCCCCGCAGATCACTCTATGATAATTTGCCTTGCAGGTCCTGCCTGCTGGCCAGCCTGGTGACCCCACACTCTTACTGCTGGGTCCTGATTGAACTACCATCCCTTTTCCTGTGTTGGAAGTAATGTGCGTTAGGAAAATCAATCCATTTACAGGGGGAGAAACCAGACTGGTTTCCTGCTACTGCTCATATTTTCACTAAAACACCATTTTCCTGGAACCAACATTGAAAAAAGCAGCACATTTTATTCAAAACAAGGCAATATTGGTATTGACAGAGCCGCAGTGCTAATGAGGACGATCAATTTTCCCTGCTCCATTATGGGGTATCGAGCAAGTTTGGAGTAAACTTGTGGCATCATTAGACAAGATCAGCATTTCTCCCTTTTGAAAACTTTTTCGTTTTTGCATATTTAGATTTTAAATATTTCTACTCTGGTGAAAAAAAAAAAAAAAAGAGAAAAGAAAAGCAAAAACAAACCAAAAGTCCCCAAAGCAATAAGTGAAGTGTTTGTTATGAAAACTGGAGATTGTAGATATTTCTTTTAAATTCTTATAAATAATACATTGTGATGTTATTTTTGCATCTTGCTTCATACAGACTGTCTCTCCAATTCTTACCTTAAATTAAAAGAGTGCAGTTAGATGTGTAGGCAAAATAATCCAAATTTTGGGAGAGGGCATGTTTAAGGCAAGAGGGTGAACGCTCCTCTTCTGTCTTAGGGACAGGGGAGAGGGAAGGTAGAGGCACAGGTTCGGGTGGATGCGGGAAGGACACAGAGCAGCAGAAGAAAGATCTGGGGAAGGGAGCTGAGGAATTTGGGTGAATTCCATGGGACAGTGAAAGTGATGGGACTGGAATTGCTTAATGCAAATTAGTTTGGGCATTTCTACGTGTGGTTTCTTGTCCCTCTACCAGCTGAGGCTGGCCGTGCAGACACCACATAGCAGAGGGAAGTCCTCCAGAGAAAGCGCAGCTATGAAGGGTACAGCACTCACCTGGAGAAGGAGGTCTGAGTGGGGTACCGATAGCAGCCACCGTAACTGGCAAAGTCCCACTAAGGTCTAACCGGCATCCCTCTCACTTCAGACAACATCGTATACGATAATAAAAGAGAATGTGGACAGTCCTAAGAGTTTTTGTAAAGAAAACTCACCCCCAACCCTCTGCTATGCCAAACCCTTCATATATTTGTGGAGGGCTGGGAATTCCAGGGCTTTATTCTTTTATGAAGAAAGGAAGATCACAAAAACAATGTACTGTATTTGGCTCAAATATTTACTGAGCCCACTCTGTGCTCTGTGCTTCAAGGGGCATAAAGAGAGTGAAGTATTTGAAACCTAGTAGAGGCTACAATAAGAGCACAGCCGTCCGTGTTGCAGGATGTGCTCAGGACCAGGAGACAGTGAAGGAGGATGAGGGTGGGAGGCGGGAGATGACACGGGGGGTGGTGAGAGGGGCTTCGGTAAGTCTCACTGGAGCCACGACTTCAGCTGCCGACACACCTGGAGTGTGGCTGTCCATGTGCACAGTAAGGACTGCACCTGCCACAGCCAGCAGTCTGTGCGTGCGTGCATGCATGTGCGTGCGTGCATGCGTGTGCGTGCGTGCATGCGTGTGCGTGCGTGCATGCGTGTGCGTGCATGCGTGCGCACGTGTGTGCGGTACTTCTCTTAGGCTCGTGCTCCTGGTGGTGTCCACCTTTTATTCCAGGAAGTGCCAACTCAAATGCAGGAACTGTCCAGTGAGGGAAGCTGACCCGGGGGCAGGGGTGGTCGTGGTACCTCTGGAGGGCACAGCGCTGCCCAGCGCCAACTGCTTCTCCACACATGGCTGCAAGCTTGCATGACCAGATCGTCCCATCTTTTAAGGGAGGCCACACATGTGGATTTTTATGTGAAATCTTCAGACTTTCCAGACTTCTGATGGTTAACTCAGAAGCTGCATAAACATCGTGCGGACCCAATACAATGTCTAGAGGGCAGACCCAGTCTCCCACCTTCGTTGTGCGGCCTCCTTTCAAGCCATCGGCCCTGGGCCGCTGATGTCCCCCCCTGCACTTGCAGCATGGAGGGCCCATTGCAGGACACCCACAACAGACAGGGTTACAGCAGCGGAGCTATAGAGCGCAGTCTCCTTGTCTCACAACCAATCCCAGGCCTAGTTGGGAGCCCATCAGAGCCGCCCACAAGATGTTCTGCCCTCAGGGGCTGACGGCTTTCTTTGATTACCTCTTAGCTTTCCCAGGAGATCCAGTGCTCCCTGGCCAGTCACATCCAGTCCCTGGTGAAATCAGAGAAGAACCGCCAGCTCATGTGTGAGGCGGGGATGCTCAGGGCCCTCATGAGCTCCTGCCACAGGGCCCTGGCCACCAGCTGCAGCCCCTTGCACTCACGCCTCATCAGGATTTTTGAAAAGCTTGCTTCCCAAGCCATCGAACCCGACCTGTTAAGGTACTACGCGCTGCATATTAAATGTCCCAAGCCTGGGCAGCCATGCCTGTTGCAGGGTAAGGGTTGTATGGTGGGTAGTAGGGAGTCTGCAGGGATGGGCGTCCTGACGCCTCCTTCCTGCCCCTCTGCAGGGCATGGCCCCGTCCCAGCACTCAATTCTGGAAGTCCACAGATGAGCCTTGGGTCTGTGCCAGGCCGTGCCCATGCCCATAAAGCCAACATAGCCCCGTACCATGGTGCAGATGGTCTGTGGAGGGGGCTTCAGGGAAACAAAGACAGAGCTGGGCCTGNTGCTTCCCAAGCCATCGAACCCGACCTGTTAAGGTACTACGCGCTGCATATTAAATGTCCCCAGCCTGGGCAGCCATGCCTGTTGCAGGGTAAGGGTTGTATGGTGGGCAGTAGGGAGTCTGCAGGGATGGGCGTCCTGACGCCTCCTTCCTGCCCCTCTGCAGGGCATGGCCCCGTCCCAGCACTCAATTCTGGAAGTCCATAGATGAGCCTTGGGTCTGTGCCAGGCCGTGCCCATGCCCATAAAGCCAACATAGCCCCATACCATGGTGCAGATGGTCTGTGGAGGGGGCTTCAGGGAAACAAAGACAGAGCTGGGCCTGAGCCCTGTGCAGTTCACTAGACATGGAGAGGAGGGCACCCGGGCCATGGCAGACTATGCACGGAGGGGTGGGGTGAAAGGGCCTGGCAGTGCTGAGAGGACAGACTGTAGGGCACTAGGGCAGCTGCAGGGCCTCCGACCCAGAGCTGCATTCCTGGAGAGCAGCAGTGGGGCGGGAAGGTGCATGGGGGAGTGACGTGGAAGACAAGGAGGCAGAGGACAGAAAGGCTGCAGGATGGCGGTCAGGGGTCTCCTACCACATTGGCGCAGTACAAGGAGGCTGGTGCCAAGGGGCCACACACTTGCACTCCCTGCCCCCACCACTTACAGGAGCAGGTGCAGTGTGCACAGAAGACAAGCCCTCCATCCAGTGGGCGGGGGACCCAGTGGTTAGGCCAGCCTCTTTCAACCCCTGGGCGTGGGGCTGCTGGACAAGGCCTCCACGCTTATAGCACTGTGCAGTAAACTCCTTCAGAAACTTAGTAAGAACGCACCACACAAGGTCTGGCTCGAGCCTCATAAGCTTGCCAGCTCTCTGGTCTAGGTGACAGGTCTGGGAGCACTGGGCATCCAGGATGGTGGTCGAGATGAAGCTGGAGAAAACCTCTGCCTGTAGGATGTCTTCATTTGGTTTTCTCATGTATTATATTCAGACAGTTCCTCAGTCTTGGAATTCCCCCGGTCTTGGAATCCCCCCACCTCTGTCGGCTGCCACAAAAATCCTCAATTCATCTCGTGTGCATGGAGGCAACCCTGGGTGCTCAGGTGAGGACAGAGGAAAGAACGGGACACGTCAATGGGAATTGAAAGGGAATGTGCGTTCCTGGGGAGGGATCATTTGCAGCAGCTGGGGAAGCAGACTGATTTTAAGAAACGGTTGTGCCTACTGCTCACTGGAGCAAATGGGAGAAGCACAGAGATCGGTGTCCCTGGAGATACACCAGACGTGGAGGGAGAAGGGGTGAGTTGGGGGTTCAGGAGGCCAAAGCTTCAGGTGATGTCCAGTGTCAGGCCTGGTACCTGGGAGGATGCTGGTCCAGGGAACCAGCTCCTCGAGGGTTACATCATGTAGGACATTCAGGTAAGAAGAAGGCCGAGTTGAGAAACAAGGATGGAGTCAGGCTTGGGGCTGGCAGCCCAAGGTAGAGCCGAGAACTTTCCAGGAGAGGCTGCTGTGAAGGAGGGTTGTAGAGGTTGGCGGGATGGAGCCCCAGCATATAACTTCAGAGGCAGCGGCAGAGAAGGCTGTGTTGGAAAGGGGGAGCGTGCTGGAATGGAAGGAAGTTTCTAGAAGCAGCAGGTTCTTGCCATGGTTGCTTGTTATCAAAAGACCAGCAGAGGCCCAGACGGGGTCCTGGAGAGCCACCCTTGCTGGTGGTTAGGTAGTGCCTGGTGACCTTGAAGAACCCTCCATGGGGGTCGTGGCAGGTACATGAGGGCTATTGTCAGAAGAGGGCGAAAATGCTTTGAGCAGACACATCTCTCTTGTTTGTGCCTTAGGGTCACAGACTGCAGCACCAGGCTCAGCTGAGGGACCCTTGGGAGCAGCCCCAGATGCCAACCCATGCCCGGGAGTCGCCCAGGCCCTCAGGCCCTCGGAGGCGTCCCAGGATCCCACCACGACCCTTCAGACGGTTCTCAGCCTCATCTCCATGACCTCCCCACGCAACCTGCAGCCTCAGAAGGCGGCCCTGGCTCCATCATTCATGGAATTTGACATGTCTGTGGAAGGCTATGGGTATGGCAAGCTTTCATATATTTGAAATACATATATTTTAAATATTGATTAGAAAATTGTAGTTCCCATCAGCACTCACCACTCAGCAGAGGAAAGTGTCTGGGTCGTGTGCACCTGCCCACTCAGTGGCTTCCCAGGGGCAGTGCCCCTGCCACGGAGGGCAGCATCCTCTCTTTATGCTGGTGTGGCTGCATTCTGGAATGCCCTCCTTTCCTGTCCTGCCTCCAGTGCAGACCCTCCCCTTAGTGCACCCCATCAGCACTAGCTGCTGTTTGTCCTTAGGGCCTTGTGATTTAAGAGGGGGTGGGGCCCCTGCAGCCCTGTAGTAGGACAGAGGGGGGACATGTCATGGCCCAGACTAGCTGCATCGATGTGAGAGGGTGGCATGCAGTCCAGTGATCTGAGACACTTTCCTGTTTCCAGCTGCTTGTTTATTCCAACCCTGTCTACTGTTATGGGAAGCAGCACCGAGTACTCTGTCTCTGGAGGGATTGGGACAGGTAAGTGTTTCCCAGGTGGTTAAGCTCCCCATCTGCCCCAAGAATAAGTCCTCAGGTAGCACTGATTGCAGATTTCCACTTGACACTTGAAGGAAGTGTGAGTCTTCCCCTTGGTCCTGAGTATCTGCAGATGATTGTCTTTCATCTTCTAAGGTTACTCATGGTTCTTGCAGAGCAAGCCGTCCAGGTCATTGTGCCTCCCAACAGCTAGCCCATGGCTCTGTATACAGTAGGCACTTGGTTCGCACTGATGGTGGGTCTGCATAGCCCACTAGTGCGGGATAAACCTCTTTCTGTGTGTGTGTTGCAACACGTCTGCCGACACAGCCCCCCTTGTTCAGTGCTGACAGTGGTACTGACTGGCTGATGCTGTCATGGGATGGGAGGGCCCGGGGCATCCCCTGAGTGCAGCATGTCCCCACCCAAGTCACACTGCTTGGCTTTATCAGTTGGCCAGGGTCCAAATGGTGACAGATCTCGGGGGTAGTGACAATCTCTCCATCCCTTGGTAGAGTGTGGAATGATAGGGAGGAGAGGATTGTTGAGTTAGGCAAGGCACAGGCTGGCACATGGCAGGTGCTACCTGAGCGGGTCCGAGCATGCTTCCTTGGAGGAGCGAGCCTCAGGTGTGCTTGTGTCCTGCTCCAGGCGCTGCCAGAGCCTTCCCTCCCCCTGGGGGACTGACATTCTCCTGCTGGTTCCTGGTCAGCCGGCATGGCGCTGCCACGGATGGCCACCCGCTTCACTTCCTGACCCTGGTGCGCCACCTGGCCAGAACTGAGCAGCCCTTTGTCTGCTTCTCCGTCAGCCTCTGCCTGGACGACCTCTCCTTGGTCGTGTCTACAGAAGAGAAAGCGTTTCAGCCCCTAGGTAAGGTGCTGCAATCCAAGGCCAGTTCCTCCCCACTCAGAGGAAGAGGGGCTAAGCTGGAAGCTTGTGGCACAGGCACAGTTAGAGACCTGTGACACCGCCCCCCCCCCCCATTTCTCCGTGTCTTTTGAAATTGCTCCCTTGGGTTCCACCCCTGGAGAAAGGTCTGAACTATTTCTTGTGTGCCACTGTCACCTGGGCTGTGGGGTTATAACTTGTCAAGCAGATGAGTCCCCAGCCTTTGGCATGGCTTCAGGGATTATGCTCAGTGGCTTTCCAGAAACTCTGCTCTGGTGGAGTGATCACAAGGGGAGTAGGGGCTCTGCCTCACTGGGACACAGGCTGCATCATGTCCTGAGCAAGGTGTGTAAAGAATACAATCCACTTAGCCAGAGCCGAAGCAGCCTCAGACAGAACCATAAGCACAAGCCCAGGTCCGGAGGGTGTGGCAGGCTGGTGGCCCTGGTACTCAAGAGCCCGACCCTCCTTCAGTAGTGCTGGTGGCCTGGTTCTGTCCTTCAGAACTCAGCCTTGTTCTCCAAGGTCACCTGCCTGAGACGGGCTAGCCCAGCCTATCCTGGCCACCTGTTCCTCTTGTGTGTACTGAGAGTGTCACCGCTTCCTAGTGAAGCTCCT